TAAACCCTAAACCCTGAACCCTAGGCGTTGGCTTGCAGGTGCCGTGTAGTTTCCCTTAGTGGTCCACGGTTTCCTGAGCCATCCCAGCGCGGCATCCGGTGCCCGCGACGACAACCCCTGCATTCGCTGCCTTTGGCCGACTGCTTGGGGTTCCTACATTCAGCCGCCACCACTTAGCATTCGCTGCCTTTTGACGGGCCGACTGCGGTGTGTGTGCTTAGTGCATGGTTGGTGCACTTACAGTTTTGATCCTGGTATTTTGCTGGGAAAGCTGTGGCGAGACTTCATTCTGGAGTGGTGAAAGAGCCATCATGGCATCGCCGTTTGAAGCGGGATCGTACCAAAGCCCGCACCTTGCTGAGAGCAGCTTCGTCCGGCTGGGTAAGACCTACGAAACAGGTCCTGCAGCGGGCCCGACAGCTACTGGCCAGACACCATTCGTATTCTGCGATTTCTGGAGAAATGGCAGCCAAGGAACCATGGAGATGTACCTGCGGAGCTATGGTCAAGCATTCCGCACGATTTTGCGGACAGTGTGGGTCGGAATGGGCCTACACAGCGACGACGTACACTACACCATGGCAGCAGAGGCCCGAGGGGACATGGACGAAACCACCACGATCCCCGCGGAGGAAATCACCAAGACGGCCGGCCAGCAAGGGAGCCGGCAAGCACCGAGATCCAGGAGCCCAACATCCTTGGAATCCCAAAGGCCATGGCAAGAGCCAGGCCAAAGGCGAGGGCAAGCAAGGGGATGGGAAGGGAAAGCCTTCCTATGCCGAGGTCGTCAAGCCCACAACGGAAGCACTGGCCAAGCCGCCTACCACAACGAGTGTGACAACACCGAAGCCATCCACGCCATCTACTCGTCAACAAGTGTGGAAAGGCAGCAGTTGGAGGCCCTGATGAAAACGCTGGGCTCCATGAAGGAGACACTGCCACCCGAGACACTGGAGCTCTACGAGAAGTTCCAGCTCACCTCGGCGCAGGACAATTCGAAAGAGCTGCACAAGGCGGTGACACTACAGTCCACATCGCGAAAGCAGCTCATACATATTCGAACAACCAGGTTGGGCTATTTAGCAGCCTGGCAAGAGTATTTGGTGTCCTTGACGGACATCGTGAAGCAGCAGGTCGAGGAGCAGGACAAGCAGCTCCTGGCTTTCGACGAGGCGGAGGTCGAATGGTCGCAGGCCTTAGAAAGGGCCTCAGCGGACCTTGCCAGATTGGCAAATGGTCCACAGTCAGCCGTCATAGACGTAGAGGAGGACCAGCTCGCCGAGGAGGACGCCATGATCGACTCGACCATTCAGACGGAGACAGAGCTGACTGCGCGTCGCCAACAGCACTCGGCCGAGGCGCAAAAGCTTGTGTCAGCGCTGCAAGAGCTACAGTCCAGTGCAGTGCAACGCTTGGAGCAGGCCACCAAAGCAAGGGACGGCTCGCGGACTCCGCGCCGTCGCAACAGTGGTGGTGGAGAACAAGCAAAGACCAAGGAGGCGGATCCAGACAAAGCCGGCGGCAAGCAAGCCGGCGCTGGAGGAGTCCCTGGCTAGGCCTGTATGTGAGATTCACAGGATCACACAGGCCGATCCACGATGGCCAATGTGATTGGCTAACACATTCCATTACATCCTCGAGGGACTTCACGAACCAGTGGTACGCAAGCTGTTTGGGTACACAGCTTGCTTTCGAGGTCTCGTTGATGCCTTTGGGGTTGGACACGTGCCATACCTACATGCAGGACCTTCGTGGACAAGATCACATTGGACAAGATCTTTCATGTGACCTTTCGCCGAAGCACTTTGATCATGGTGACCAGGTCCTCTCTGCTTGGGGCGCAGCAGAGGCACATGCCCCTCAGGTTCGAGTTTTCCGCAACGGACGTAGGCAGGGAGCCCCCGTTGCTTGTACATATCCGTAGCTGCAGGAAGCAGGCTGAGGGGCAGCTTTGTCTTCACCGGCACCTTGTTCCCTTCAGGGTCGGTTTCGCAGATGCTGACAGTGCAGCCGAGACGCGGCTGCTCAATGCCTGGGCAGGACAAGTCAATGGGATTGCATGTGACTTGACAGATTGTTTAGGAGCTCACAACTACCATTGTGCCGGGCCGAGCTTCAGCTCCTGCAGAGTGCGCGGCTCAATCCTGGAGCCTGCACCTTCACCTCCCAGTCGCAGCATGTGCGGCTCACACCCGGAGCCTGCACTGCACCTGTTCATGCCATGCATACCAACAAAGGGAAGCCTTCCTATCTGCCCCGTCTCCTGGGGCGCAACCACCACGCCAACAGTGAGATGTACAAGGTCGGTTCCGCGTCGAGCCTTGCATCTACGCAGCCGCTCGGGACAGGAAAAGGAGGGTCCAAGTCCAAGATACTTGTTGATGCACGCCAAGGCTCCCTACCTGATGCAGACATGATGTTCAAGGGCGGTTCCCTGTCGAGCCTTGCATCATTGTCTCATGAGAGGCCACTGCTATCCCTCAATAGGTCCGTGCAGTGCCCTGCTATTGCCCCCGCTGGAGAAAACAAGAGATCGGCCCCGGGTGGCCCTCCGCTATTGTCACAGATCTTTGCACAGCAGGCTGCCCTGATCCCTAGCTATTTGGATTCTGAAATTGCCAATCGGCGACCTCAAGATGTTGCCGCCCTGCAGCCAGCCTCTGGCGAATCCGCGGCCGAGCCTCGCTATGATTTGTTCGACCCTGTCGATGACCGCCGATCAAGGCCAGCCAGAACCACCTGGACCATACATGAGTATGCTGTCGATGCCACCCGTGCCGTTGCCTTCCTTCCCAAAAGCATTCAATTTCTTACAATTCCACTGCCCAGCACCATGCTCCCGAACATTGTCGTCTCTCCGGCCAGAGGCGGTGCTGGTTCTCGGGCCATTCCCTTTGACCTGCGTGAGGTAGGGGGCGGTATTGCCACTGTTATCGTCCGCCCTTCTGAGACCGTTGCTGATGTCCTTGCACAACTGAGACCCAAGGGTCATGATCTGTCGGGGAGTCTTGCTTCAGGGCTGGATGCTGGGATCCTGGGTGTCTTTGATTGCCGGGTTACCGCATTGACCATGTAACAGAGGCACCAGATGTTCAACAATGGCTTGCTGCCAGGCGGCTTCAAGATGTGCCGACTGAGTTGCGTGAACGCACCACCGGGACCACCACCTGGACGCAACCCGTCGGTCCGCCTATGCTCCTTGGCCAAGTGACCGGCTTTTCGCCAGATGAGCTCCCGCTGCACCTGCATACGGTGCAGCTTGTACCTGAAGGTTTGAGGCAGGCCTACAGTTCCAGGGTCCCGGCGGCCCAGCTTCGGCTCTTTGCACAGCTTGACCCTGCAAGTGTTGGCACAAAGCCTGTTTCTTTCTCACTACTCATGCGTGGCTTCCCACCAGCTCGACTGCAAGGTGCTGCCCGATGGTCGCTGATTGATTTCGTCAGTGATGCATGCTGTTCATCAATGCGACCAAACTCCTGTCAGGGCACAACTACTCACCACCAGCCTGGCAGGATTTGACGAACCACAGGTTGTCGTCACAGAGCAGGGTGACTGTGATGCCCCCGGTGCATGTGTTATCCCGGTTGACTTCAGAGGATTAGGGGGCGAGGTCATTCCAGTCGTTGCTTCTCCTGGGATGAACGTTGAGGCTGTGCTCCAGGCTGCAACTGCGTACGTGCCTGTCGCATCGACTTTGCTGACAGAATCGGCCGCTGGAGAGCTCTTCATGCAAGATGCACAGGGACAGGTCTATGATGCACTGCCAGCATCCCTCCTGCATCTGCAATGGTTGGTTTTGCGTCGACGCGCCGAGGCGCCCTTCTTGCAGCCCCTGCTGGAACAGCCACCCACCACTACCACAGTGACCTTTATGCTCCCTAGCGGGCACGCCGATCCTCGCACTGTGCAGTTTTTGATGGTAGGGGATGGGACCACTGTGCGGCTGACTGAGGTTCCATATGCCTTTGCAGACCCGCAGATCGCGGTTTTGGAGCTACTCAAAGCCTTAACAAGGCTGGGACGCCTGCAAACGGATTTCACCATCCAGATGGCCCCAATCTTCCCGCGCACGTCGGCGGCGACCCGCTACATCATTCCAATCTTATATGTGCCACAAAACCGTCAGGGCACATCGGACGCCCCAACCATAACAGTCATCTACGATCCTGGAGTTGACGGTACCCAAATCTATGCGATGACCTTGCCTGAAGGGGCGCGTCCTTCCGAGATTCTCTCGGACGTGCAGAAGCGCAGCGGCGCCCAGATCTATGTCAACGACGTTCATAGCAATGCCTGCAGCAGGCCCTTGGTGACGGGCGACCTTATACAGCAACTTGGTGATGGTCGCTGGCCTGGGGTTGCGCGAAATGCAGGGCCCTTGCTTGATGACATCAGCCGTCTTCGCTGCCTGACTTTCCCCATAAGTCTGCCAGCCTTGGGTCTGTTCATCGGCCCTCAAGGTACACTTGTAGCGCCACGTGTTGGAATACGATCCATTGAGGAAAGGCTTGAGGATGCATTCGAAATGCGCTTGGACCAGCTAGGCAGGCCCGCCCGCACAAGCAAGCGCGTCACCGTGTTCCAGCCCAGCAGGGCACCCCACATTTTCTGGATCAACACTCCTCTTACGCCAACCGTGTATGAGGCCTGTGAGCTTCTTGAAACAACAGGCCTCTTCACGTCTGACATGGTGCTTGTTGATGTGGCCCCCTCGGTGGAAATGAGAGGAGCCGATGCGTTCCTCGCTCTGCCAGCAGAAGTGCCCTAGGTGACTCTTACAGTCAGCGATCCTTTCGCGGTGTGCTACTACCTATACTTGTGCATTTCCCTGCCGGTGCTCAACCACCACTGGATTTTCTCCCGCTGCGATCCGGTATGACCTTTAAACCGTTGCCCGCCATTGTCATTGGCGCATATCGGTTCTACCCGCGCAGCCAGAGGTCACCCCCCTGCTAGTGGAAGCCGGCCGAGTACTCCACCACCGCCTCAGGCGCCCTCTCGGCCGTCCTCGGATGGCACCAGCCTCGCGCAGCTCACTCTGCCGACCGCGAGGCGAAAGCAGATAATTTTTGACGACACACCAGAGGCTGCCAGAGCGGCTGCTATCGCTGCCAGTGTTCCTACCCCCTTTGGAAGACGTCGGGTTGCTATGCACAGCGAACCGTGCAAAGCTCCAGTTGCCGCTAACCTGACCACATCCCCATGTGCCGCCACCAATGTTCTGCAGCTGTCTCTTGCCCAGCATCTAAATCAACCAGCCGTCTCGTCACCATCTGCAATTGTGCCATGCGATCAGCCAGATGTGCCTCAGGCGAAGCTCGCTCCGACAATTGTGCCCCCCTTTGCTTGGGCGACTTGCTGGGAGGCACGCCTGCCTTTCGTGCCTACAGGCAAGGCCTATGATGCTGTGGCCTTCCGTCACCCTCCAGGTGCATGGGCCCCGGTTGCCCTACATGCTTATACCGATGGGTCCGCGTATCCCGGGTCGCCCCTTGGATGGGCTACGGCCATTTTCGAAGAGTGTTCTGATGGCAGCTGTACATGGCTGAACTTCCTCGGTTACTTCTCTGGCAAAGCCCAGCCTTTCGCTGCCCGTGGACTTTGTGGGGCCGAACACAACGTCGACGCCGAGGCCGTGGCACTTTCAGTCGCCACGGCCTGGGCCCTGTCTTGGCCGGGACACATCCCTATCCATATTTGGTGCGATTGTCGGGCTGCAGTTGACATAGCTGCAGGGCATGCATCGCCTCAGGTCCAGTGCAATACCAAGCACCTTTGGAAGGCCTGTCGGTGCATGTGGCAAGCTCTGGAGCGCCGCCCTTCTCCTGGTCAGCTCCATTGGATCCCCAGCCATTCGGGTTGTGCGGCAAATGAACTTGTTGATCAATTGGCAAAGTTCGCCTGCCACAACGACTGTACAAGCATGCCAACTGAGCTCTTTACGTTCCTCACTCACGATGCCCTGGATTGGCTGTGGCATGTACTTGCCCCGTCTCCAGGCCTTCCTTCATTCCAGGTGCTGGCTGCAGGTGCATACGAAGAGCCTGATGCTGTACCGACCGATTGTCTGCCTGTTGCGGTCACCAAAGATGTCAGAGCCAGGACATCGCGCGGTCGGCTGGGGTTTTGCAGCTACAACGGCCAAACCCTGAAACACAAGAAGGACCTGCTGCGGCAGCAGATGGCGCACCGATGTGTCCATGTTCTCTTCCTGCAGGAAACTCGCATGAGTGCAGGCACCTGTTCGGCTGAGGACTTTCTAGAGGTGCGTGGACCCTGCACTAAAGGTAATCTAGGTTGCGCAATCTGGATCGCCAGATCCTCCCCGGCCGGGACTGTCGATAAGAATTCCGCGCGCACGCTCTTTGCTGATGAGCGCATTCTAATCGCACGGTTGGAAGCGCCTTACCTGAAGTGTTATCTTGTGTCAGCACATGCCCCCCACACGGGACACAGTGAGGCTCAATGTGATGCATGGTGGGTGCACCTGGAAAAGCAGTGCCGGCATAATTGCAGGACTGGCCTGCCCCTCTACATTGGTATCGACGCCAACGGTCAAGTGGGGTCCCGTACCAGCCGTGCCATTGGTTCTCATGCTCCCGATTCGGAGACACCCAATGGCTGCCGCTTCCACGACTTTTGTACCAGTCTTGATTTGTGCGCCCCTGCTACCTTCGTTTCAGCACAGGGCCAGATGCTTGATAAGGACCCTCATGCTTTCACATGGGTCTCGCCCAAGCAGACCAAGCATCGCATTGACTATGTTCTCGTGCCTGCCGAGCAGCATGAACTGGTACAGGAGTGCAGCGTTTTCCATGATTTCGAGACGGCAGGTGCTGAAGATCACTTTCCAACATGCGTTCGGGTGCATATCACGGCAGTTCAGCCCCCTGCCCCTGCCGTTCACTTTCCAAGGCTCCCACTGCGCACTGTCGAGGCTGTTCGTGCTGCCGGGCCGCAAGTACCCGCAATACTTCGATGCGCCACCCAAACTCCCTGGAGCACCAATGTTCACAGGCATGTCAAGCAGCTTGATGAGGCGCGCTGGGGAATTCGTGGTCCCGCTTGCTCCAGTCGGCCCCGCCGCCCATACATCACTGACGAAGCATGGTGCCACATTCGAGCACGCAAATCTTGTACCGCTGAAATCAAACATGCGGCCGCGAGCGGCACTCGTGCCGTACTGCTCCTAGCTCAGCGACAGTGGGCTTTTGCGGTTGGCTTGCGCGAAGCCCCACCTGATCGGGGGCGCTTTCTGGCCCAAAGTGCCGCTGCCTCCCGGCGCATTGCTCGAGCCAAGATTGCGCGGCACAGCCTGCTTGTCGAGCTACGCAAAGCCCTAGCAAAAGGCAAGACTGCTTACATTGAGAGCCAAGCCCAGAAATATGAGGAGGCTGTCGGTGCTGCCGACACTCGTGAACTATACCAGGCCCTCCGTTTCTTCCGGCCAGCTGGGAAAAAGGTTTTCAAAGCCTTTGAGCCACTTGCTGTTCTTCGCAATGACTCAGGAGATGCTGTCCAGACCTTTCAGGAACAGCAGCAACTGCACAGGGCACATTTCGCAAAGCAAGAAGCCGGGCATCTCATCACTCCGCAGGAGTACCTTGCACTGCCTGAAACTGCGAAGCCTGACGGCGATTATGCCCTACATACGTTGCCAAGCCTCTCTGATGTCGAAAGAGTCATACGGGAAGCCAAGGATGGGAAAGCACCTGGTCCCTCCGGGATACCTATTTGTGTCTGGAAGGCCTACCCTACCTTGTCTGCCGAGGCACTTCTCCAGGTTTTTATGAAGGCTCATGTTCGCCTCACCGAGCCCATCCAATATCGCTGCACCAAGTTAACGGCCCTCTTTAAAAAGATCGGACTTGCCGTTAAAGCAGAGAGCTTTAGGTCCATTGCCCTGCTGGACCCCAGTGCCAAGATGCTTCACAAGCTTCAGCGGCCTCGCCTGCTCGATGAGCTGTCCAAGCAGGCACACCCTCTGCAGCAGGGGTGTCTGCCCGGTTCCGTTCCAACAGCTCTTACGCACCTGCTGGTTACCAACATGCGCATCGCCTTGGCTCGCAAGCAATCATTCGGGATCCTGTTTTTGGATCTGACTGCTGCATACTATCGCTTGCTGCGCCAGGCCATTACAGGTGAGGAGGTGCAAGATGAAGTACTCTGCCAGTTGCTGAGCAGATTGCAGGTACCGGTGCAGTACGTGCAGGACGTCGCGAAGTTTGCCACCTGCGGAAATCTTCTGCAAGATGCGACGCCTCATCTTCGCCGTGTCCTGGCTTCCACCTTTCGGCACACTTTCTTCGTCCTCGATGGCATCGACTCGTTGACATACACACAGGTTGGATCCAGGCCCGGAGATTCTGTCTCTGATGTGCTCTTCAGCCTAGCCTTGGCAAGTGTTGTCGATGAGGTTCGCAGTGTCTTGGGCAGCCAAGGAATGCCGGATGTTGCCATGCCTATTTGGGCTGATGACCTGTCCCTGCCGATTGCTCAACCTGCTTCTCAACTGCTTGAAGCGGTTGTTGCAACCACGACTGCCCTCCACCATGCATGCAACAAACGTGCCATGTGCCCCAATTACTCCGAAGGTAAGACGGAGGCTCTTGTTGCCTATGCAGGTGAAGGTGCTAGAAAAGCCTCCCGTGCCCTCTTCAGCACTGGGCAAGGTAAGGTCTCACTTCCTGTCTCCCCTGAGACCAACCTCCGTTGTGTCTTGCAGTACAAACACCTTGGCACAACTGTGAGTGCGCGGTGCAGGCCGAGAAGGGACGTGCAGCAAAAGCTTGGGTTCGCCAAGGGTGTTGCCTCCACCCTAGCCAAGAAAGTCCTTCGGCGCACGACCGTCAACATCAGGCATCGAGCCACAATCCTTGATGTCCTTGCTATGAGCAGAGCCCACTACGGGATTGCAATCTGGGGTGACTTCACGGCCCAAGAGGAGGCGGCGTGGCAAGCCGGCCATGGCATTCTCTACAGAAGCCTTCTCCGGCCAGAACGGGGTCCGGACGGCCCGCGTTTTCCTACGGTCCCCAAGATTTGTGCCGAGGTCGGCCGGCCGATCCCGGGCTTGACTCTGCGGCTACTGCGACTCGAGCATTTGCGGCTCATCGCAGTGCAACAGCAGGAAGCGCTGCTCGAAGCTCTACAGCTCGAAGCGACCACCACGGCAAACTCGTGGTGGGATAGGGCAGAGAAGGACGTCCTCTGGCTGAACCAGCTGATCGGAAAGCCTGGCGAGTGCTACACCTACAATGGAGTACAGGGCTTTATCGACGACGCGCTGCATTTCCCCGGGAAAGTCAAAGGCGTCCTAAAAAGGGCAAAGGCCAAAGCTGCAAAACTGCACCCTGCCACCGCCGAAGGGTAGTCCCAGGTGGGTGCGGGCTCTCCTTCGGCCGCAACTGTCACGCTGCCCTTCCTGTGCAGCTGCTGCGACAAAGCCTTCCCTGATCTTCATCTCCTGCGAGCCCATATGTGGACGCAGCATCGCCAGGTCACTTTTCTGGCCAAGTGCGCGCCGCAGGATACCTGCTCGGCTTGTTTGACCAGATTTTGGACCAAGCCCAGACTCCTGCGACACATTATTCACGACTCTCCCCATTGCGGCCACCTGATCCTCGCCCGTCTGCATTGGCGCAACAGTGGAGATGCTACGACTACTGTCTCGCGAGACACTTTACCGCCTGGCGACCTGCCGGCGGTCCGCATCCCAGGCCCCCTGTTGAGTGATGATGGGTGTTTTTCTCCGGAACACTTCCTGCA